TCATGATCAGTCCTTGAAATGAACATTACTTTCTGGTTTGTGTTTTGTTTATTTATTTAGATGGTCATTTTATCATTTTAATCTTATTTGACTTTACACAGAATCAGACTAGACTGAATAAAGCTCAATCCATCTAATGCTATGTATTCCCATCCCGTTAAATCTTTCTGAATTTATTTACTCTACAATAATGGTCATTTGTGACTGTAACAGTAGTAGACTTTACAATTTTTTTTTTTTAAATATATGGTATTGTACTTGACATTGGTGGCAAACATAAATTTTATAATTACTGTGTGCATTTGTAATTTGCTATTTGGCATACCAATTAAATATTAACTCTCAAATTAGGAAATACTGATTACTTTTGGTGATGACAATTTAATGGTTTACGGAAGTACGATGAAGTACGGTACACCATGGGATGCACATCAGCAACAGATGTTTTCTGATATTTGTCAAATGCACTGCCTACCTGTATAGGTAATTTACAGCTATTCTCTGAGTAGGTTTATAATTATAGTTAATTTAAGCCACATTTCATAAAAGTGGTTGTCAGGTAATGTACATTCGTGTCTGCATCATGACTGTGATTAAAATGGGTATTAAGGTCTGGGCTGCAAATTGTAATTTTTGTGTGTGTGTGTGTGTGTGGGGGGGGGGGGTGACAAAATCAGGTCATTGACCTACAAGTGGGTTTGTAGGTTCATAGTTGAGTGTATCAAAGTATAAACCACCATTCCAAAAAGTAGCGCTGAAGCACTGCTGCAACGACAATAGATTACATTTTTTCGATGCATTTTTATACACGCGTTGTGCACATTGCATGCATGCACTCCAAACGCTGGTGATACAGCGATTCTGTAGTAAACACAATCTGATTAAAATAAGATTCGAGTTTGGGCCTTTTTTTGTCATTCATATTTTTTTCATATATTTATTTTTCAATTTATTTGCTGGTATTTTTTTTAAGTTTTGATAATCAAGGTGGGCTTTCCAATTATCAAAAAATACCAGCAAATAAATTGAAAAAAAAATAATAAAATATATGAAAATATGAAAAAAAAAAGGGGGAAAAAAAGCCCAAACTAGGATATTATTTTAATCAGATTGTAGCAAACAGTATTTGTTGATGAATGCTCACAGATCCAAACAATATCAATGCTGCAAACAACGTACACTTTTTATGTCACAGAGGTGTTTCACCACTAGAGGGCGCAACATCTGTGTGAACACATCATCTGTGTTGCTTTACACTGTAGTAGCTTTAGAATTATGATCATTTTAGTTTTCATGGAGATGAATTAAACCGGGGTATATAATTTTTCCCATGACCTGCTCCATAGGCTGTCAGTCCCTCTGGGCTATTGTTTTTTTTAAAACTAAAATGATTGCAGCATTTCATTTCAAGCAAATGCATTACATTAAATCATTAATTAAACCTCTTTTGAAATAACACTTTTGAATCATATGCTAATTACTAAATATCACATCCAAGCCTGTTTGAAGCAGCACATTTGCTCACAAACTGTTATTGTTGCAGCACAAACATTCTCCCCAAATTATTGTTGCATTGTGGGAGTATCATGTTGCCGCTCTGTGTAAATATATTCTTAGTGGTACTCCATAATATTAAGGAACATGTAGTCTTTTACATAGAGATCAAAGTTGTAAACAGCTTTCCCCAAGTTCAATTAATCGACTTTTAGTTCACTTTATTGCATATATAGGACTATGAATATTGCGTTAATTTTATGCCAAAATTATACACACAGTATGCAAACCAGAAAACAAACCACCAATAAACAAGGATCATCTGACAAAGGTCGCTGAACTTGTTTACATTTTGTGCACATAGGCTTGCGCAGTGACTGATTGGTGAGAACAAGTCGTTAACACCTGAAGATGAAATTACCCCCAGTATGTGTACCAACAACTTGTGGGCAAGATCACAGATTAGTGCTGATCAGTGAGAGATATTTGTTACTGGGCATTTGCGTGCTGATTGGCAAAATTGTAAATGACAAACATCAAAGTGCAATGACCTATTGAAAACAAGTGATTATATTGCATCAATTATCTTTTTATTAATATTAAGTCAGTAACAGGTAAATGTACAAACAAAAAGAAAACATGTTCATTTTATACACTATATTACAATAGTAGCTGGCACAAAACACAACGCAATGATATATTCATTTCAATAGACAGGGACATTTCAGATAACTTGCATTTAAAATAACAGGAATTTAAGTCTAATGAAATCATTCCTAGTTTAACTTGTATACAAGTAGATTGGTCAATTTCAACCGGAATGTTGGGGGATTGATTTATGTTTTTAAGATCTTGCACTACGTGCACTGGCCCGACTGCTAGCACCACTACCAGGTCTGGATCCCTGTCGGCTACCAGGTGGTGTGTTTTTTGGAGTTCCTTTCGGAGTCCCTTTTGGTGTACCTTTTGGTGTACCCAACGGAGTACCAAATGGAGATTTTTTACCTATAAAAAGAACATAATCATGCATTATAAACAACAGTTAATTTGAAATATTTTATAATTTATGCATCTATTTAAACAGTAATAAATCTACCACAGGGTCACATTAGATTAAGAGAAGAGTCTAGACACGATAATCGGCTTTGCATTACACATTATCTTGCCCCTTCTCTCTCTTCTCTCAACTCTTCACTTAATCCAATATGACTGTGGGGAATTCACTATTGTTGTTATAAATCACCACAATCAGAATTTTAAAAATGTAGGTAAATTTGGGGGCTTTTTGTTGGAATTTACTTGTGAATGAAGGTTTACATTATCGTGTGATAAACACATCTAATTTTGATAGTGGTGATTTATAATATCTAATATTGTGGTTTTGTTTATTGTAATCAAATTCAACCAGTCACTGAGTTACCACATTGCCCGTTGACACCGTTTTTCTCAATTCATTTAAGCTATCCACAGTGGTAATGTCATTGTGGACAAAAAAAACTGTTTCGTGCACTCTGAAGAATAGCCAATCCTGTATGAGTAGCATTCATGTTTTTGTGACAGCTATCATGATATACCGGGTATATATATATATAACTGTACAGCTTTAACACATTGCTGGCCGGCTTCATGAATAGCCATAATGATGGGGAAAAAGAAAAGCGTCAGTAAATAACCATCCATTTTATTATGAATCTAGATTCATCTCCCAAGTCCAATCCACCTTGAAACATGCACATGTATAGTTCATATCAACCGAATACACACACACACTTGGAAATTTACGTAACTGAACTAATTTTATACTACTGACCTTTAGGAGAGGCCATGCCACTACCACTGACACCGAAATCACCACCAATGTCGACCTTGGCAGCTGTAGTACTAGTAGCTCTACTCGATGCTAAACTACGCCCAGATGATGGCGTCCTAAAGGAAAACCAGTAATTTAAAACAAAAATTATTCATTCATAATATCAACTGAAATCCTGCAATACCATAATGGCAACTGGTGCGTTGTTCAGTTGTAGTACCCTTACTGTCAAGCAAACAAAGTAACTGAATACAATTACATATTGGTATTACTATCAAATTGATGAGTGAGAATGATAAGCTTACCTAGCTGATGACTGACTGTCCCAGCTACGGGCACTACCAGAAGAATACAGCCGTGAACTTGCACTTCTTCCAGTGGTACTCGGTGGCGGGGGAGGAGGTAAACCAGCCTGTGATAGGTAAAAATTTGTTATTCTAGCCATACACATACCATTATGACTATAACATTTTTTAATGTGAAAAAAAATGTCCGGTCTTTCAATATACTACGAGTATGTCAAACCAATAGTTAATATAATATAATATTAATAATGTTTTACCTGTGAAAAAAGCATTTGCACAGTTGATCCGATGTCTGGATAGTTGTGTGCCACTTCACCGATTTGGCGAATCACGCCCTTGTTGAAGTCACGCAATTCTCGCAGCTCAAAATCACGCTGTAAACAAAACAAAGTACACATGAGTAGAATGAACAGGATACTTAAAATATACAACTAGAGTGACGTGACCGGTTACTTATGGGGGTTGGGATATAAGACACCAATTTTCTTTGATCACATATTTGAGTGCCTCGCCGAATCAGTGTAGAATTATGTACGGTATTTATAATAAAATTCTGAGGGTGTTTTATCTCAATTACCACTAAAACAGCAAAACAAAACACCTTTCAATGTCATATAATGGAACCGTTTTAAAGGCAGACATCATGACGTATCATTTTCGATATGGGTCCCATGCATCATATGCAATATGAATAAAAATACATTGTTTTTCTACTTGAAATGTGCATGATGATTAGCACCCTTTAACACTGAAGCATAAAGTCACATGCATGCATTCTTTACCTCTTCGTGGGTCGCTCCTTTACTCTTCTTAGATGTTCTTATCTCCCTGGCATATCTGGCCGTCTGTTTAGCAACGCGTTCCAACTTCTGCTTCTGGTCTTCAAGATCCTTGTTTAGCTGAGCAATTTTCTCCTGCAATCATAAAACAAGCTGAGATAAAAACTAGGAAGGATGTGCAAGAAACTTGTGGACTCAAAATGTGGAATTCACATATAGTACGGCTTGCATTAAAGGCCCTGTCAGCAGTTCACATTAAAGATCTGGTCGTGTGGTGTATACTGTTATTAATCAATGATGCTTGCAATAGGTTTAACACAATCGTGTTCCTATATTTGGGACAGAAAAGATCAAGTTCTTATTCATTGATCTAAAAACAAAATGGGACTTACTTGACTCAAGCCAAAATCAGGCCCTCGGTCAACACCATTTTCATTATTATTTTCATTTAACTGAAACATGTTTTACAACCTTTTGAAAAGTGAATAATTTGCAGTCTCGAGAATCAATGTAATGTTTTACGCAATCTTTTGATGATGATAATTTCCAGAGAATTCTGAAAATACAAAACTGACCATGGCCAAAATGTACAGAAAAACCTGCATCTCAAATGTGATGTAATAATCGTGCATTGTGCAAAAATTGGCAAGCTTTGCAGGGCAGTCTATTCAAAGGGCAGTGGTTGTCATGCAGCAAGCGTTTGAATTTAGTTAGAGTAAACAAACAAATGTATTTACATTTATAAACTGCTATGAAACCAACACGAACATAACAGTGCATCAACCTCACGGAGACTCACATATATGTTAATCTATTGAACCCTAAACTCAGCTTTTGTTATCTTCCACAAAATAAAAACCTTCATGATTTATTTCAATTTTCCAAAATTCTAACTTACCAATGTGAAACTGTGTGAAATTTGATGGTTTAATACATAAAAATGTTTTATCAAAATGTTGACGGAGAAAATTATAAAAGATAAAAAGACTATCACACACACTGACCTGTTTTTCTTCAATCATTTCCACATAGGCATTCTCATCTCGGTTCAAATTATCCAGCGTATTACTCATCATCTGCAAATCTTCCTGCAACTCACGGATTTGTCGTCTTTTGTATTTGTACTTATCCATCACAGCTCTGATTTGCTCCTCTAGTCTCTGCTTCTCTTCGTACTCCTCGCCTAGAAAGGATGAGACAAGAAAGAAAAGAAATAAATCATCACTGACACAGGTAAATTGGCATCTACCCACAGGAAGGATGTCTGCCGTCAGGTACTAAAAAAAGCCACGTCTATTTTACATGGTAGGAGGACTAAACTAGCAGCCTGTCGGCTGAGATAGCTCCGCTGTTATCAATACACATTGCAATTAAAGAACAGAAGATATCATTCGAAAATGAACAATATGTATAGTATTAAAGCAATCAGACTTTTTATAACTTTTGTCAAAAATATTCATTAAAATTAGATAATTGAAGAACAAAATCATCACGAAATGAACAAATCTGAGAGAGGTCCACATGCAGTACCTATATATGTAGTATCAAAGCAATTGAACCTGCGGTTTTTAACAAGAAGTCGAAAATGTCACTTTTTACCAAAAATGACACAAATATTCATGAAAATTAGAAAATTAAAGATATCATCACGAAATGAACAAATCTGAGAGAGGTCCACATGTAGTACCTAGAAATGTAGTATCAAAGCAATTGAACCTGCGGTTTTTAACAAGAAGTCGAAAATATCACTTTTTACCAAAAATGACAAAAATATTCATGAAAATTAGAGAATTAAGATATCATCACGAAATGAACAAGGTACCTACCAAGTATCAAAGCATTCGGGCTAGCGGTTTTCAAGAAGAAGTCGAAAATAGCATTTTTGATCAAAAATGACAAAAATATTCGGTATTAATAAGACAATTGAACATATCCACAGGAAATGAACAAATCTGAGAGAGAACCACCCAAGGTACCTTCCTAGAAAATTTCACAGCTATACAGTTTGTGGTTTTAAAGAAGAAGTTGAAAATGCGATGACGACGGCGACGGACAATCAGTAATACTATCAGCTCCACTCGACAGCGGAGCTAAAAAGCTCATTACTCAAATATACGAATCACAGTTTTAGAGAAAATTGTGTTACAAAATACCCAAAATGAGCATTTTGGGACAATTTCCATAGGGATCCATGTAAAGGCGTCATTTCATGGAAAAAAAATAATATTTTCTAAAATCTCTATTTCGTCACCATATGTCACCGAGTGATATTTTCAGATATGATGAAATCTTTTCCCAAAAGAAACCAATGTTAAATTACTCAAACATTGTTTTCATGGTTTTTTAGCCAGTAGATCTGTGACCATATCTATGTCAGTTTTGTGAAAAACATCAAATATTGTAAAAATCATGGAACTTGGCAAATATCTGTTCTAATACCTGCAAACGATCTAATTACTTACTAGTTTCAGTGACTTTATTAAAACTTTTACGATATTGTTCATTACGTCCATTCATGAGTCGTAACGTATTCTCCAGAGCACGAATTTCTTTTTCTGCCTTGCGTATCCTAGCATCCAAATCATCACCTTCTCTCTGTAACTCTTCCTTCTCTTGAGCGGCCTGCAAGTAACGACAGTTGGTTTTACAAAATAATAATGCTTTATCAAATCCCTGATTGTGACATGTGCTTTTGATTTTTCTAGCAATATAAAAGTAAAGTATTGTTTATTGTA